TAGAATGCTAAGTGAATAAATGGGATAGAAAACCATATATAGATAGATGCTCCCAATATGTAAAAATAGTATCACTATGTGTGTGTGTGTGTGTGTGTGTGTGTGTGTCCAGAAAATTTTTCCAGAACACCAAAATGTTAACAGTAGTTGTCTATAGGTGGTACAAGTATGGGTGATTTTACCATATTTTTCTCTTTCCTACATTTCTCACAAGTCAAACTGCTTTTATGCTCAAAAACAAAAATCAAACATCAGCGTGCAGCCCCTACAGCTGGCTCCACCCTGGTAGAAGAGGTCCTCCAGAAAACACCTTGGCCATTCCCCACTTCTAAGCAGCCGGCAAATGGGCAGGTGGCCCTCAGGCACTCGGAGCTTTCCTGGCACCCATCCCTACTCCAGAGGGTCAGCTTCTACCCTTAAAACTAAACCAAGGCCTCCACGGTGAAAGCCCCAGACTCCTTGGAATAACCCACTAGGAGGCTGTCCCGTTGCAGAGACAGCTTTTTTCATCACAAAGCAACTCCCTGTGCCTTCCAGGGATTTGCTGGCTAACAGGTTGAAGCTACATTTTTCTTTTCTGTTCCTTCCTACTATTCTGGTTACTGTTCCTACTCAAGCCTTTATATCAGAGGCAGAGTAGCAAGAGTCTGGAATCGGGAGGAAGAAAGAGCTCCCAGCCAAATGACCTTGAGCAAGCTCCTAGCTCCCTGGACCTCAGCCCACAAGTATGAGGGGCTGAGCTCCAGGCCTCCTCCTGCAGCTCCAAGGCCTATGACTAATGCATCCTTGGACAGAGGATGAAAGACGGGCTACCTCTCCTGGACGCAAACAGACACCTGACAGAAGCTGTTCTGGGACCCAGAGACCACGGACACCTGCTGGGTTACGCCAGCACATGAGACACTCTAGTTGTTGAGAGAAGCCCAGGTGGCCGGGCTCAGGAGGGCTAACTTGGTGTCTAAAAACAAATACATCCCAATCTACCAGATTTCTGTCCCTACTCGAGCTGGGCCCAGCATGTGGGCCTCCTCCACTCTTTGCAGGGCTCCTCTGGGTTGGTGACCCAGTGAGGTAGGCTTCCAGCTGCGGACAAAAGCAGGGCCACCAACTGCCCACTGGAGTAAAGGTGGGGATCAGGGAGACGCTGCACGCTCCTGAGCAGTGCATGGAGGCCATTGGCAAAAGTCAAAGGAGAAAAAATCACCCCACTGACAGCTTTGTGGAAACTTCCGCATAAACATTACCACTGGTTGTGCTGCTGCGACTCACGCTTGGGCTCCCAGATGAGAGGTATGTGACAGACAGGGCTGGATTCAAACCCGCCTCTGTTCCTGACATGCTGTTTGTCTGGGAATATTCCTGAAGCTTCCCAGCCTCAGACCTCAGTTTATCTAAAGAATTATCTACAGAATGGGGGTCCCAATAACCTCTACCACTGAGTACCTATGGACACTGCATGAGACAAAGTATGTAACAAACAGCATTGCGCCAGACAGCACTGGTGAGAATCAGGATAAGGCAGAACCACAGGGAGTGAGAGCCAAAGGAACCTCAGTGACCTTGAATCCAACCCTTCAGTTGGCAGGAGGGAAAAGCCTCGAAGAGGTTGACTGGCTTTTCCAAAGCTGCACCACTACCCAGTAAGAGAGCAAGGCACAAACGTGAGTCTGACTGGCTTCCAAATACCCAACAGCCCTTCATGTCACACCAACCCATCCATGGGCAGCCCTTGCTAAGGTCTCCTTTCTGCAGAAAAGGCTTTGGTCAGGGAAGCCCCTGGAGGAGCCACGAAATTGCCACAGGATGCCACCAAGAAAGCTCTGGTGGAGGAAGTGCGGTGATGAAAGCTGAAGATTTCCTAGAACTAGGAGCAAGAAGAATAGAATACCAATTACCAATCCTGGGTAGGTGCCACGCAAATAGCATGCAAACAACACACAAATGATCATATTATTGATGAATCAACAACCTGAGCTTTTTTAAAAATGTGTAACTGGACCACACTGCACAACGTGAATTTCTTTTCGCTCTTGGATTTTTGCCAAGTAGAATGAAATAAAATCTGTGGTGGACTGACCAACCCATGGCTCACTCAGTGAAGGCCTGGCTGACTCCTGTGTCCAGAGGTCCGGACATGCCTCACCAACACTGAGTCAGTGTCAGCCCTGGGCCCACGGCCACATCCATCCGTGACTGGCATGTCAGGGCAGGGAGAGAAGGGTCTCACTGACTTGGCAGCTGCTGACTCCAGCCGAGCAAAGGACAGTGGGACGGAGTGTACTGCAGGGCATATGGGCAGTGACAGGCAAGGACCTAGAGGGGCCCAAACCTCTCCAGGAGCCCTGCTCGGGGAGCTAGGCCCCGAGTGACTTGGGAGGAAGGCTCTTCTCCAGCAGGCAGGGCTCTGCTGCTGAGGGTGCTGAAGGAGCCACACAGAACTAGAGGGGACAGCAGTGATCAGAACCCTGAGATAGGATGGGGGACGGCAAGAAGCCTAGAGGTTAGACACCTGACAGGGCTACTTGAGGCCCTGGAAGCTCAGCCAGTTCAACCAGCATTTACCAAGTGTCTGGCATGGACGCCGTGGACAACTCACGGAAGCAGAGAAGACATGGTTGCTGCCCGGCTCACTGGCCTTGAGGCACCAACAGTTCACCGGGAGAGAAGAAACAGGTACCCACAAAATAGTACTTTAATGCTTCTTTGGAAAGGGGTTGTGTCTTCAGGTGTATCTGTGTGTTGCCGTATGAGAGCACAGCGTTTGCAGGAGTGGGGCGGGAGAAGATAGGCCTTGCCTATCCAGTCCTACTTTAAGCCACATATATTAATAATGATAACAAAGCAACTAACATAAACCCACCACTTATAGCTTGCATATATATATCGAGCCCAATACTGAGTGCTTTATATGTATGAGTTCATTATATTCTTCCAATAATTCCAGGCAGTAGGCACTATTATTAATGCCCTCTTTTATAGATGAGGACATTAAAGTTTAAAGAGGTTAAATAAGCGACCTCACCAAGGTCACATGGCTAGAAATCCATAGCAAGGAGTCGATCCCAGGCCTGGATCGGATATTACCCATGCCCCTGCCTCTGCTCTCAGAACACAGGACGGCCCCCCTGCCAGCTCTAAGACTATCTGCAGATCCCACACACACAGCTGGCTCCGTCTGCACCCCCACAGGGCAAGGAGGGCCCATTCTGCCATCTGTGACCTCTGTCACATGGTGACAGGACCTGGGCTAGCCTCGGCACTCACTCAGCAGAGTTTCTCCAGCAGCCTCCTTATAGCTGCACATCCGCCTGCCTTTCCTAATGGGGCCACGCGTGGCTATAATGGTCGGGCTCCAAGTCCCAGCCCATCTATCTAATGGGCTGAGACCGGCTTCGTCCGTGCAGCCCAGCAACAACCCAGGCCTAATGGCAGCTGAAGGTCTCTTGGTACTGAGCTGACCGGGCTTCTGAGCTGTGTTCCTTTCTCCCCTGAGCAGCAATCTACACCCCACATTTCCTGGCAAACTTTGTGGCTGCCAGAGAGACAGACAGGGCAGAGAGCCTGGCACAGAGGTGCTGGGCCCAGGGCTGGGGAAGGAGGCTGGATGGCTGAGTTAAGCCTCTTCCCCATTGGCTTCCGGAGCACCTCCGAGGCTGCTTCCCGTTAAAGCTCCTGCTCCACCTCCTCTATGGGATCATGGGGACAGCAGGGAAATCAGCGTGAAAAGAGCCTCGGAAAAGTTCAGCATGCACAAATGTGACTGCAGGAGAACCCTGAGTGCCCAGGCCTTTCCGGGCAAGCTGCCAAGGCAGACCAGAGTCCCACGGCCCAGATACAAGACCTAGGAAGCTACACCAGGCTGGCAGGTGCTGGAGATGGCCAGGGCTCCCCATCAGAAAAGGAATGTATTGGTGACAAGAATGCAGGGGAGGCTGGGCCAGGGATTTAGCTCAGTGGTGCTGCCTCCTGCCTTGCAAGCTCAAGAACCAGAGTTCAATCCCCGGTACCAAAAAAGTAGAGGAGGCAAACACACTCACAGAAGCGTCCCAGCAGGGCCAATTCCTGGCAGTGTGCCCAGGCACTCGCTGGCACTTGGTAGCACTGCTTGGTGATGAGATTATGGCCTGGCAGGGAGCCCCAGTGTAGACAGATACCCAAACTAAGGACTGCCACTATCGGGCCACCCACCCCGGTGCTGCCTGGAAGCAGATAAGCCCTCTGATAGGACTGGCAGAGAGACACACACGCTTCTGTGGCAGGATGAGAACTGGGAGCCAGCACCAGCATTTCCCTCCTGCCTGCAACATAGGTCCCGTGAGGTGAGTGGGAGCCGGGCAGAGGTAATCAGACTGCCTGGCTTGGCAGGACAGCCCCCAGGGGTGGAGCCGGCCAACAGAGGCACCTGGAGAGGCTAAAGAGGTCTTCAGGAAGCCGCCCTGTCTGGTAGAATAAGCAGCACCCCCCCCCCAGTCTGGGG